GTACTCATAGTCGTGCATGCCGTAGTCGTTAGACCATTGACCTCGCATCCCTACAAGGGGGGGGGAGGGGGGGGGGCATGTATGCAAAAGTCACGCATCACCACAAATGACAGGTGATGGTAAAGGCAAACCACGGGTATCTTGGGCATGGCTACTGTAGTTTATATCGCTCCCTTGTGGTGTAAGAATGTGCTGGCATCCCGCCTACTCCACCATAAACACGTTTTCGCTTTTCACCATTGGGGTTTTAGACGCAGCATCCAGGGTCACGCAGGGGGGTGGCCACTTTCCTTTGTAGACCAGGACTTTCCTTCCTGTGGAATGGAACGTGCCGAACGGGTGCATACCAGCGACATCAGCTAGATTGCCTGTCTTGTGTCAAGTGCAGTCGCGGCCCTGTTCCAAGCTGCTGTTATCTGGAGACATCATTTTTTTCTTGTTACGTCCCATGGCGTGCGCGACGAGGTGCTTGTGTATGTGCCGGTAGTGCAGACCCGCGCTGCAGAAGGAAATCAGGCCCGAAAATGAGGCTCGCATGATAGCCGACTCTATGGCGAGGTGTGGACGCTGACACATCCCGAAGCAGTCATGTAGGGTGGTCGATGGATGACGTGCCCACCAAGCAGGGCTAGCTATGCAGGCGTGACAACTGATCCGGCCACTGCCTTACACATTTGGCACTCTTTTGTTAGTGATTTTATTATTGAGGAGTGAGTCGACCATGAACACGCCGTTGTCTGGCAAAACAATTGATCACCATGATGGCACTGGGGTCATCCCCAGTTGCCGACGCGACAAGTCGTGTTCGGCTTGGATTTCCCTGGCGAGCTTGTTCATGGCGCTGTCCAACACCTTCTCCAAAGATCCCCCGCGCTTGATGCTATTACTGGTGGTGGTGCCGCCGCCGCTCACGCCCCCAACTCCGAGAACTTCATCATCACCACCGTCTCCATTGCCATGGTAGTCACCGATCTCGGAGCCATCACGTTGCACTTCGGCAGTTTGCTCACTCTCCTCGTGCAACACTAAGCCTTGGTAGGCCCTTGATGACGACTCAAATTGATGCTGCTGCGGACCGTCCCGCGCTGGGGACGGCGAGGATACCAAAAGCAGTAGACGGGCATCGCTCGGAGCCCCCCTTCCAAGTGCCGCAAGAGCCTGTGCTTCCTCCTCGCTCAGGACGCTGAAAGTCCCACCACCAGCAGTAAGGGCATCGTTAGCAGTGTCTTTGGACAAAGAAGTGTCCGCGGCGGACGCAAGATACGCGGCTGCAGCACGGGCGGCGACCCGCTTTCGTCTTGTTCGCAGCCGCCGTTCTCCGCGGTCCTTGCTAGCCCTAATGGTGAACCCCGCGGTGGGTGCTGGAGGCTGATTTGGCTGTGTCGCCGGCACCGCTGTCCGAACTTCAGCTTGTGCCTTGTTTGTGCCGGATTCGAGATCGGGCACTGTTCCTGTTCCATCTTCAGACTTTTCTTCGACCGCAGCTGCAGAGACAGTATCGAGGGGTAGCGTACCAGTGGTGCACTCCAAGTCATCCGGCTCGTGGTTCCCCGAGAGCACGAGGTTAACGCCTGTGGCCGATATTCCTCCATCTGGTCCTTCACCCTTTCCAGGTCCTGCTCCCGCCTCTTTCGCCCCCCTCTCGGTGCCTCCTCCCGTTTCAATACCTGCGTCTCCTTCCCCTCCCTCTATCGTACCTACCTCGGCCTCTCTCTCGCCGACATCGGACACGTCTGTTCCCGTGTCCCCGCCGCCGCGCTTCTTCCCGTGTACAGGATCTTGATGTTGACCCGCTGAAGGCACCACGCTACCGCCGCCGCCGCCGCCGCCTCCACGGCCTGTTGCGGCCCTCCTTTTCCGACTGGCGCCCTCATCTACATCATCACTAGACAACAGGCCGCCACTGCGGCGGCAATGGCTTCTGTTGTGTTCTCTCCACTCGCGCGCGATGGAGCGCTTGACTGCCGCCAGCTTGCCGCGGAGTTCCATCTGCCGGCGGCGTGTTCTCTCTCGGCTGTGAGCGGCGAGACGACCGAGGGAGCCCTTCTGTCGGGCGGACAGGAGGCGAAGCTCCTCGACTCCCAAGCTCTCGAGAGCCCGCCGCAGCCGATGATGCTTGTCTGCTTGAACCTCCTTCGCTTGCGCTTGCTTCTGCAGGAGGGTGGCCGTCTCCAGGTTGATGGTTCCGAGTCCTCCCCGAGCGTTGGCCTGTGGAGCATGTTGCGTTCGATCGCCATGGCAGAGGCCATGCAGTCAATTTCAAAGCGAGTGGTACAGATACGCAACCGTCAAGCCTATAGATGCCTTTGAATCGAATAGATCCCTGCTGCGCGTGTCTCATTAACCATTGTTCATTTAGTTTCTCTGTGGCTCGTCAGAAGTTGAGAAGGGCGGACGAGAAGCACTAGACAGTTCCGCGTGTACTTCGTTTGTGGGCGACTGGCCTACGCGTTTCCAGCGTGGCGACAAACACAGTCGAGCCTTTGCCCGTAAATATGTCGGGCGTCTCGTAAACAAACCGGCAGGTCGATTGGCGGGCTATCGGTATTCTTGAGCTCCACACGATACTCGGAAGCGGGACCTTACTCATCGATCACAGCAGCTCAATTATTTTCGGACAACACAAACCGAACACACACCCCGACCTCCGCTTTGTCCCGAGCCTCCAGTTTATCTATCTCGCGCATGACCCTGGTGGCTTCCTTCAAGTGCCGGCCTCGGTCGACGACGTGCGCCACCGCTGCAAGGTGCCTACCCAGGTCGCTTCTGAGCCCAACCAGTTCCCTGTTGCTTCGTGTACGATCCACCACCACCGCCCCTGTCACCGCTGTCGCCACCGCCGATGCCGCCGTTCTCATCGCGGCGAATGGCAGTTGCAACTTCTCATGACGAGTTCCTGGCAAACTTTCGTGTCGGAATCTTTGCCCCTTCTGACCGTCTTCTGTCTGTGCTTCTCCTTGTCGCCCTGCTTCTTGCAGACACTCGGCAACGGTCGGAAGGGTAGCAGTAGGAATATCGATGGTCTCTGACGACCGTGTACTCGCCTCAGGTGCCGCCGCCCCTGCCAATGGTCGTATCTCTACAGAATCTGTCGTTGTCATAGGCGGCGGCTCATCATGTTCCACTTTGTCTTCGCGACTGCCGCCGCCGTCTCCAACTGCGGTGGTGAAGGCTGTCGGGTCCACTTGTGTCAGCTGCTCATTGTGCGCCTGCAGAAGTGTGCGGACTTGCCTGCTGCAGGCCTCGTCCAGTCGTTCCCTCCTCTGCCGAAGGTCGGCCTCGAGGGCCGCTCGCTCACTCGCGTGAGTTCGCTGGAGGCGCGAGGAGTGAGTGTGTTGTTTGGTGGGCAGCAATGAGAGGAAGAAAAAAATAAGGAAGAAGGAACCGTGCGGCAGAATAGAACAACGACACGAACTTCAAATGAGATCGTCGTGCGGATGGAAGAAAATGCGTGCCCGACAGTCAGCCCCTGCTCGACTTCTCTAGGGCACCACGTCGGAAAACAAATTATGCATCAACTCATGCTTCAACTCTCAAACCTGCCGTATTGTTTGCATAGTCTTGCACCGGGAAAGCGCGGCATGGGACAGCTACAAGCAGGGCCTTAACGCGAACACGTGCTGGCTCCACCCGCATGGGTTCTTGTACGTACCCGCAGATTCCGCGTCTCTAAGAGCGCCACCGCCCGAGCCTCGCGGCCATGGGCTTCCCACAGGGCGCTCTCCAGGCCGTCCAGGTTGTCCATCGAGCACTCTGCGCGCCTGTAGTCAGGCTTTTTTGTACTTCCGCCGCCGTCGGGAAAAAGCGCTCGATGAAGAGCCCTAGATTCTTCCTGCCCATACACGTTTGAAATAATGGCGTACCAAGAACGGTGCTTCAAGACACCGAGTGTATTACTGCTGTGCTTGGTTCGAGGGAGTAACAGTCAACTGTATGAAAGTGGTTGCGTCAACTTGACGGCGACTCGTCTCAGCTGCAGTACTCCTATTGGTGAGTAGTATGTATGCTCCTCTGAGCGTCCGAGTGATTGAGCAATGGGCTCTCTGATGTATCGCGGTCACTTTGCCGTTCATTTTTCATCTCTTTTGTAAGTGTAGTTTCGTCGCGGGTTTTGGTACTTCTCTGGGTGTTGAATGGATGTGTGGATTGGATGTCGTTTTCTTTTGTTGCATGTTGGGTTTACGGACCTTCGTTTAGAGTAGTAGGTGAGAATATCATTAACTTGAACGTTTTTGACATGACAACGACGACAACGACTACCGACAATGACTACAGACCAACGAGGCAATGTGTTGTTCGACAGCCGCCCGACGTACTGCTGCAGTAAAGGCTAGCCTCGAATGATCTCTTGCCTGAAGTGCCTCGATCGTCTGATCGGTGGTGAGCCCCCGCCGCCAGCCGTGAACATTGGCCGGCGCTGGTGATGGTGTCCGTGCCGTTGTTGCAGGGATGAAGGCGGGCAAGACGAGTGGTCGTCGACGAGATCGGCGGGTGCTAGCCGGGCGACCTTGTGAGGGTGGTATCGTTGTTGCCTTCATCGTTGGCTTTGGCATGATGCCTGGACAACAGCGAGAGGGACGGAACAAGAAGGGAATCAGCCACCCCGCGCATATAGCTATGGATGTACACTATGCACACTAGGCCTAGATATTAGTACTCTAGAGTAGAAGGCCAACTCCTGACAACCACGACAGACTTCCATTGATTGTAGAAGTAGCGTATTATTGATAGCTGGGCAGAGAGGGAGATAGAGAGAAAGAGAGAGAGAGAGAGAGAGAGAGAGAGAGCGAGAGAGCGAGAGAGCGAGAGAGAACGTCATGATGTTGCATGTATGCTGCTGAGTAGTTCGACGCACAGCCAGGCCGCATTCCGTGTTCCTTTGGACAGCGACGAGGTCAACAAAGTTCTCTAAAGGACCAACATATGATGACTTTCAACTTCCACCAAGACAAACCACAAGGCATGACTCTCTCGCCTTGTCGACGTATCATTGGTGTAGCTCTTAACGCTTCGAGCTCGCGCTCAGCATCTTCCGGGCACAGGCACGAGGTACCCATCCAGCTTACACCGACGAGAGATCCCGTGTCGGCGCTGATGCCTCGACCATTCAAGGGGTGTTTATCAGGATCATTGCTTGTGGGTGCGGTGGGCATGGCCAAGCTGGGGTGTGGTCGTGCAGGCAGGGTTATGGGATGAGAGAGGATATCGTATCTTTCTCGGTGTTCGTCACCGAGATAATTGATTTCCCGGTAATTCCTCCGCCAAAAAAAAAAAAAATGTTCTTGTCCCTCCGCGTCGACATGTCACCACCCCGCCGCAGGGGCGCGCGCTTTCTTCGTGTCTCCGTGGTTTGGCCATCCCCGCCATCCTCGGGGCCTGGCCCCAGGTCGTGACACAAAACTGCACAGCATCTACAGGATCAATAGAGGAAAACTACATATGATCTGCAGGATCAATAGAGGAAATTTATTAGTCTTGACTAGTAAGCTATGTGACATTCATTCTCCATGGTTCACAGTTCTTGTTGTCTTGGTATCAGCTAGTCTGTCTATACATGTCAATTCGTTCACCCAAACCCAAACTCAAAACCACTGCGAGCGGTGGTGTGTGATCTCAACGCTCATCATGGACGTTTCCATCTTTTCACCTTGGCAAGGAACCAACACAAACAAATGTTGGTTTCGGTGGAAGAGAACCCGGCACCCTCCAGGACGATTCCCGCCGCTGTGACGGCGGAATCCAAAAACTAAATGTGTCTCCTCGAACTCAAATCAAGTGGAAGTGTATGACCGGCATGTGCTTGTGAGTCTACATGGAAAGCACTGTTTCGGGTGTGTATATTGGACTTAATTAGGAAACCACACGAAAAAGTAAGGTGCGCCATTTTGTCGGCACAAGACTGTGTGTGTCTTTGCTTTTGGTCAATGAATTCGTCAAGGACCATCATCTGTGCCATGACCAGCGACAGCAATGACGCGTGCAGTATTTATCGCTTGCATGAATGAACGTGCGCCAAGCGCGCAAGCAAACATTCGATCATCTTCTTGATGGCACGATGATCGCTGTCCTCAAGAGAAAGAACAGGACCGTGCATCAAAATACACAGGGCGCCATGCACATGGTACATGGCCTTGCCGCTGTCTACTGCCCGAAGGCAGTCAGTCAGGATTCTTGCGTGGGTTTCACACAAAGCAAGAATCGAACTTCCAGAATCATCGCAAACACGTGGACTATCCTCCCTGGTAACCTCTCCTGTGTAAACATGGGTCAACGGTGACGCAGTATGACGTGTGCTGCCCTCCTACCAACGGAACGCGCGACACGTGACGTTTCTGCGCTTGCTAGCTTCTTCCCTGTCTCGGTGCCGTCGACAACCTTTCTCTGCATCATTGCACAAAGAAACAAAGCAACACAAGAAAAGCCACTTCAGTCGACAACGCACGGCCGTAATAGCGCTGTTACACAAGGCAAGTTTGCAGTCGGGCACGAACGCACACCGCTACTAACCTACACAAGAAAGCGGGGTCGCGAACAGGGGGGCACTCGCTCATTTTACTAACCACGCGCCACAGAGCGCCCACGTCGCACGAAAGCCCCCGACCCCACCCAGCCGACAAAAATTAACGGCATAACAGCAGTGGGGCCGAAAAAACACACAACGATATATTGTTGCGCGTCATGTTCAAAGCACGCAGCGCGGGCGTGCCGCCAGCCAAGCTTGTGGAAAACGACAAGAGAGCAGAAAAACTCCTCCCTCGCCTTTAGATATTTCGACCAAAACGCGAAGTCAGCCTCTCAAAAAAAAAGTGGGCTAAACGAACATGCCGCTAACCACACTCCCTTGACAAACTGGGACAGAAACTAATAACTACCCAACAGGCTGCGTAAGGGGTAGTGGCTGGAGTGACAGTCCGAAGAACGTGTGTCTATCGTAGCCTAGTTGAAGTTGTAGCCCGCGCCGAGGAGGTCGTTGATGACGTACGGCTTGTTGTTGAGCTCCTCGTGCACCATGAGGGCGAGGATGCCCATCTGCGCGGCGCGGCCGTTGTTGAGCTCGATCGCGCGCTTGGAGGCCTGGGTCTCCTCGGACATGGCGTCCCACGAGGAGCCGAAGGGGTTGCCGCCGAGGGTGAAGTCACCCGGGAAGGAGCCCTCCACGTTCTTCATCACGGCCAGCTCGAGGAAGCCGATGAACGCGAAGATCTGGGCGAGGCCCGCCGGGGGGATCTTGGAGAGGGCGGCGACGCCGTTGGGCATGTCCGCGAAGGACAGGTTGGCCGAGTTGGAGAGCATGCCGGGCAGGCGGGTGTTCTGCTGGGTCAGGTGACCGGCGATGGCGAGCATAGCGATGCGGCCGTGCTTCACCTCCACGTACCGGAGGCGCTCGAACCGCTCCTGGTCCGCGTCCTCGAGGAGGCCGAGCGGGTCCCAGAATCCGAGGGGGGGCTGCGCGCCGATCTCGGACTCGAAGGACATCTTCATGGCCGAGGACGACTTGGCCGCGGTGGTGAGGGCGGCACCATTGAAGGCGCTGAGGTAGAGGCGAGGGGGGGTGAGGGGGGGGGGCGTGTAAGAAACCGGTCAGACAGGAAACTGATTCTGCTCAGAAAAGGCGTGTACCTGCTTCTTACTTCCATAACACAAGGAAAAAACAAACAGAGCGCATACAAAAAAAAATTGTCGCAAGGCACGAAAAAGTAAATGTAATTCGTGAATCGGACAGGGATGAAGAGTTGGTTGCGACTGCCGGGAACGCGCACTTCGGTTGTGAAAAAACGACAACAATATCTCGGTAAGAGCGGCACTACACGACAAAAAAAACGCACCCAGTTCAGTGATTTCAGCGTCTCAATCATATATATCTGTGTTGGTCGACTGGGTGTACACAACTCGCTCAAGTACCGGCACGTTTGTAGAACACATGCCTATGCATCAATACTGCTTGTTGGCTGAAAGCGTGTGCCACGTCGAAGCACGTGCGGCCGGTTGTGCGGATTTATTTGCTGTTGGAAATGCACACAGGTGCACACAGCACACAGGAGGGCTTCCAAAGAACAAGAGAAAAGAGAGCCAGCTCCAGAAATTACGCCCTTTCAACAGAAGGGACACGTCATCACATTGGAAACTACAAGCTGTTGAGCCAATCAAACTTCATGGTGCAACAGAGAAGAAGATACGGAGGAAATGTGATCTACGCGCCAAGGGTAACTTTGATGCTCATGTACCACCAAACACGACCGTCCGTCCATGCCACAAAGAGAGCCAAGAAACCCCCCACACACTGCTGTAGGCAGGAAAACACTAGTAAAACAGTGCTGACTGAACATCAGCCATTCGAGAAAACACAAGGGAATCTGCATGAAAGCGTAGAAGAGTCCGTATGTTCTCTGTCCTCAGCGTAACCCTGCCTCGCCCTCGGTTCTCTGTCGGCTTATGTACATGTTTTCCGATACGTTTCGTGGCGCGTAGAGCTCATCTATAGAAAAAAAAGAAGAGGCTGTCGCGCTCCCTCCAAAAGGTATTTCGAAGTACTTAGTATACGCAGGTTTCGCCATGTACCCAAGAGAAAGGTTCCCCAAAGCAACCAAGCAACCATTGCCGCTGAAAATTAGCACACCAGCGTACCCTCTCAGCTCTAGCAGGCGCTTTGTGTCCGCAACATTGACGCTCAGCGGTAATTAGCAACATCAGGCTTCTGAATGCCCGTGGTCGCGTGTCAGGCAACGCGGAGCTGAGAGTAGGGGAATGGTGGCAGTTGGGTTTGCCGCTGGAACAGGGTACATTGTTGTAGCATAGACTAGATGGCGACGTACACATGCGTATCTTTGCCTCAAGACTACACCACACCTTGTCTCCTACTGTATATCTAGACTACAATACTTCTAGAAGCCTGAATCGTCAAAAGGTTGGTGGATAGAACAGCAGTGGCCAGCCCGGCTCATGGAATGAAGCGCTCATATGAACGTGACTAAGCTAGCAGTCGATACGTTCACGCACCGGTTTCGGTTCGTGCTCGCTAAAGAGCTGAGCAATGCAATGCTGCGAGCAGGCAAGGAGCGCAGCGGCACGTCGAGACAAACGTTGAACAATTTGTTCCCGCTACCGTCTGGGAGGCGAGCCACTTGTCGCTTGTCGCCAAGATCGCTATTCAAACTACAGAAAGGGCGTGCAGAAGACCTATGCAAGCCTGCGACGGTGGCACAGTCAGTCGCGCGCGCAGCGCAACCAACCTGTTCCTTCATCGATCGGCACATGGCTCGCCGCCATCCATCCCATCGTCCAACAATTCATTTACGCATTCCTACACGCACATATTCAAACACGATTTTCTCTGAAGTTGGTCGCGTGTCGCGCGTCAACCATCCTCCAGGGCGAGGGCTCTTACCTCGGGGCCACGAAGGCCTGGGCGCCGGCGGCGAAGGCACCAGCCACAACAGCGGACTTCATGGAAGGCATGATATTTGAGGTTGGTGGTGTAGAGAAGAGATGTGTAGAGAGAGGAAGATGGTGTATTGAGCGAGTGGGTGCAGGTGTGCAGGGCAGGGCTTTGCAGGGGAGCACGTGTGCACATGCAGCATGATCTTAGGCAAAAAAAAGAAAAAAAAGACCGACGGAAATGTATCGACGTATCGACACCCCTCTTTCGATCTTCTTTTTTCATGGTTTCAAGTCGCATTGCTGACATAACTGACTCCCTGCCCTCTGTGTACCACAGTAGTATAGATGTCCCCTTCTTGTATGCGATATAGTCAGTCTGCGAATATTATGCAGAGGTGAGCGCATTTATTTGCCTACCTGCGTTCTGTGAAACCACCCCATCATATCGAAGACACAGAGGAGATCCTCCAAGTTGGATCCATCCTCGAAAAAAACACTCGATCGGTCTGTTTGGGTTGGTTGGTCAACCGCTACGTGTAGCAGTATAGACAATGGGCCGCTCAAGTTTGTTGCCCAACTGATCATCATTTCACACCGGGGGGCAGGAGAACAAAGTGTAACACATCGCAGGCCTGATGATGTGTACACACGCGAGATGAGGATGTGGCTCCACGCAAAAGCATCTGATAATGGAACGCAAACAACGAACAGGTGTGGGGGGGGCGTTGCGGTTGCTGCTGCTGTCGTTTGTTGTTATAGTTGCCTTCACCATTGCGGTTCTCTCCTGAGAATGCCTTCTACAATCCATACGATTCCGACTACCCCAAAAGGGTACAATACACCACGAACACCAAGAACATAGAAAGGATTCAGAGGAACAAAAAAATTAACGAACGCGAGATCTGTACCAAATTTTACTACAAACACAGAGAATATGGTACTTGCTTCTTCATCGTCACAGAGTCTGAAACGTAATCAGTCAGGGCATCGCCGGCGACATGTACGTGAATATCGGGCAACGAGGAGATGAACAAACAGAGCCCACTGGGCGTGAAAAGCTCACAAATGTCAATGTGAACAGTATCCATGTATGTTTGATATTTCCTTCCGCCTCGAATAGTTCCCACACTGACCAACGAACCCTTCCGCGCCCCGCCCCCCACGAACACCTCTCCTCGAAGTACCTTGAACGCATGATTATCATACAGTTTATGGCTGGAGGTTGGCTCCATGTCAGATTTAGAAAGATATAGCGGTCAGAAGTAAAGCAGCATTCCTGGGACTAGCCCGCGGGATGCGAAAGTCTCAGATTTACGGGACTACCGTAGTCTCGAGGTTGGGACCTACGCCGAGATCGCCCCTGGTATCTCGGCGAAAGCCGACTCGACGAACCTAATTTGTTCGATGGTGATGTGTGCACTAGTGGCAGACAGCTCCCCAAAAGTGGGTGAGTAACAATCAAACCCGAGGAGAGGTCATGATCAAAGACTTGAAAAATCAATCACGAGAGGAGCCCGCATCGGTACTCCCGTCCTCGTCGTCGTCGTCCTCATCGTCTTCCCCGAACGGTCCTCTCCTCAACACCTGCGATGTTGGCAACCGAACACGCAGTCGGCGGAACAGAGAGATGAGCGAGACATGGAATACCCCCGCGACTGAGAAACCGCGAGGCTGAAGAAGTTGATGGCAGCAATACCTTTTCGTGCTTGGCGAGAACGGGATGCCAGAGGGAACGAGCGGAAATCCGGCGGCGGCGTGCAGATACCGAGAGCATTCTGTATTCGTTTTCCGACCGACGACTACAGGTACGAGGTGGTGGTAAGGAAGCATATAGGAGCACGGCGAGGAAGGAACGGGCGAGGCTTGAGATGTCTGCCTCCGTTTTTTTTTTCCGAGGGTATCAATTTTTCTCCAAAACGAATGCACCGGGCGCTGGGGCGGGTAGCAGCGTGTCGAATGACCCGCGACGGAGCTGTACATGATTGCCGCCGCCATACACAGGTTGAACTGTTGGTTCTTGTTCCATACGATGCACGATAGAAAAATGCAGCGCGTTTTTCTCATCGTGAAAAGACAGCATAGTACCAATGAAGGTTGCGCCCCACGCTATAGGGTGTAATATTGACGGGGGCAACTCCGGTGCAAAACACCCGGGCGACATCAAACCATCCTTCCCTCTCCACACCACCACAAGGTGAGAGCCTCGGGGGCGACTTCAATCGGGAAAATCCCCACCGCCACTCAGGCTGTTTCCTCGGCCAACTGCGCAAAATAGAAGCGAAGTAAGTGCCGCATGGGACGGACCTCCTCTATTGCGATTGTTTCAAAACAGAGGTCGCCCTACTACAACTGGCCTGAGGGCACGGATTTGCATCAACACTTCGGAGTATTTATCGGCGGCCTTCTTACGTTACCGAGGTTCGCGTCTCCCGGGGGCGGGTCCCGTTCGCTCAGCTGCGACAGCCCCGGAACTATCCTTCCCTCCAACACCCTCGAACACAACACGGGATCGGTGCATATCTGCCGTCATCGTCGTACGGGGTGGTGTTGTGAGTGGGAATTGTGTGACGACGATGTAAGGTCGTAGAGAGCGAAACCGCTTTGTGCGGAGCCGAAAATAACAGGAACAGCAACCAGTCAACACAGCGATGCAAACACGGTGGTGGTGCCGTCGAAACGACAACAACAACAACAGCAGCAGCAGCATCAGCACCAGCAACGACAACAACAGAGTGGAAGAGCGGGAAGTGTAGCTTGGTACATGCCCTATGCAAACCTCCGATATGTGAGTGCCGCTGTGGCAGCGGCATGAAGATCGTAATGACACCCTGCGTTTTTCCCTCGCTCGTTGTTATTGGTTACTACCGTTCTAAAAACCAGCGCCTCACGCAACGTAGGGCAGAAAAGGAACCGCCTCAACATGCTCACGGGCAAGGAATGGAACGGGGAGCCCAAGTGTTTCAAAGTACGCCCGTAGGTTGCCGTCAACATCTCCGCTTCGAAACAAGTTGACGAAAGGCTGTCTCCGCCTCGTGAAACTCAAAATGGCGATGCAGGAATTATCCTCACGTGAGACACGCCCGACCCCGACCCCAGGGGAGGAACATCGTCGCCGTCGCCCTCGTCTCCCTCAGCGAAGCGGCCGGCCCATTCTCCGAGAGACCTGTTCGCGGGGTATAAGAACAAGGAAGATGGTTCGAGATCGTTGGTGAGGCACGCGGGTTGGGGGTGGGGGTGGGGTGAATAGGGATGAGGAGAGGGTATCGGCAAGGGAGAGAGAGAGAAAGAGAGAGAGAGAGAGAGAGAGAGAGAGAGAGAGAGAGAGAGAGAG